ACATCATCAGGCCAGGACTCTGCGGTCTTCACTCATCTCCAGGCCAGCGGTCACTCTTTCAGGGATGAAGATGTTCACATCCTGGACAGAGAGGAACGATGGTTTGAGAGGAGTAAAGGAGGCCATCTTTGTGAAAAGAAATCGGCCATCGTTAAACAGGGGTGGAGGCCTCCGGGTTCAACTGTCCCCCTCTTACAATGATGTGATTGCTGGTATCACTCAGCCCTCTGTGAACAGTAAACAGCCATCAGTGTGCTAATGATCCATTGTTAGGCTGATGGTCCTTCTTGAGCATGTGATCAGCTGGTTTTGGTTGTCAGCAGCAAAACTGGTTGATCCACTCTGAGACGGTGCTATTGAAGAGACTGAGCTGAAAACAGCACCTCAGACTGAGGAAGTCTCTTGGATGAGAGACAAAACATTTCTACATTTTTTTTGTTGATTTGCTTTGTTTTGTTTTTTTGAATGTCCAGAGGACCAGATTTAACTTTTTTAGATTTTTCTACCTGGATTATTGAGCATGCATCAGGAGATCTTTTAAATTAAGATTCTTGTATACTTCTCAGATGTTGTACCAACCAAGTGACAGGTGAGCAAACTATGTGAGGTGCAGCCAAGTAATGGTTATTGGGGCCCACTGTGTTTTATCACGTGCAATGACAATGAGCCTGAAATACACATAAATGTGGTGGAGCAGAAAATTAGGCCCTGTTTATACGATGCTGTTTTTAAGTGAAGATGTAACATTTGTTTGTTTTCAGCTGTTTATGTACACACCAACAACCATCATCTTCTCTGACATCAAAACTTCTTGAATGCAGGTCTCAGAAATGAGTTTTTATTTCTAAACATCCAACATCAGAGTGAGACTGCACATGCGCACTGCAGAGAGCATCAGTCAATAGCTTCGGTGGATAGCAGTCTCTGTGTTTCTCACTCTTCAATTTATCAGAGCTTCTGACTTGAACCAAATAACCTTGGATCAGCAGAGACATACTTCCTCAAATTCTGCAAATACTGAATGAGCCTGTAATTGTTTTCATGCTTGAGACTGAAGTTTATATGTGCATGTCATCAAAATACAAAAAAATGCAGCACCAACTAGTGACTTTGCAAGGAAACTAAAGCAAGTGCAATGGTTTTTAAAACTTTAAGCAATAGCATAATAGCATTCTTTTTTTTTTCCATTTGGCTTTTATTTATACAGGCTAGCCTCATTGAGCCACAAGGATTCATTTACAAGAGAGACCTGTTCCAGACAGAACATATAAAGTACAGACAACAAAACAGTAAAAATGACAACAATAAACTACAGTAAAAATGCAGTTAAAATAAGAGTAGTGCACAAAACAATAAATCAGGGTGCCGTAAAACAGCGTGAAATACTAAAAACAAGAACATATTTGCTTTGATTTTTCTATTGACATTATCAAATGTTTGAAACCCCTTAAAGAAATCAAGGAGGACAACTTCAGTTCTTCTTGCAAGGTGTTCCAGGTGCAGGGGCTGAGTAGGAAAAGGCCTTTTGTCAAGTTCAGTCTGCACTGAGCGAATGCTGCAGGTAATGATGTCCTGAGAGCGCATGTTGTAACTGCACTGACAACGTGACATGTGGGAGGAGATATAAGAAGCTAGCAAACCAAGGAGGGATTTATAGATGAAAATGAACCAGTGTGAGAGACTACGTGTAGATAATGATGACCAACTAGCAATTATGATAGCGATCACAGTGATGTTCTGTGCACATGTTAACAGGGGTGCCCAACCAGTCGACCGTGATCTACCTGCAGATCACGATTAACTTGTTTCTAGTTGTTTGTGAATTTATAGAACACAACTTGTTTTTTTAACCCTTAATATTTAATGTTCAAGCTTTGACTACAAAGTGTCCAGCCCCTTTTTAAATTTCCACGAGACATAGCCAGGTCTAGTTCACAGTAGTCATATGATTTTTGGGCGCCCTGACTCAAACCATTATCTCATGAGACTTTAGCTTCACACGCTGAAAACAAAGTTGAGTAACTTGTTATTGTGTTGCCAAAAGATGGCTGACAAACAAGCTAACAAGCAAGCAAACATTTTTTATTTTCATCGGGAGTGAGAGGAGCACTGTCTTATTTATAATGGAAGCACTGCCTTGTCCAAAAAGGGTAACTTGGAATGGCATGTCAAGACCACGTACAAACGCCATGAGATGGATTTCTCTCCTAAAACTGCTTTATGAGCCCAGAAAGTTCAGGAGCTGAAAAACAAGCTTGCATCAATTTTCACCAAAGGTAAGGCTGCTACGATAGCCTCATACCAGGTCAGCCACATTCTGGTCCAACACAAAAGGTATTCAGCGATGGTGAGATTATGAAAGAAGCATTCATTGAGGCTGTGGAAGCACTTTTCTGTGATTTTAAAAATAAAAGTGAGATTGTGGCTGCTAAAGAAGATATACAGTTGTCCTGGAACACTGTGACATGGTGATGTGAGGGGATGGCTGTGGATATGGAGGAGCAGCTTAAAAAGAACAATGTCAGTGTTTCTCTCCTCAATTTGATGAGGCAACTGATATGATGGATGTGGCCAGTTGTGTGCTTTTAACAGAATGGCCTATAGGCCCAAGAGCCAAGGAGGAGGTCCTCACCATCTTACTAAAAGGACACACAAGAGAAGAAGACATTTTCAACCCATTTATGGAGTTTGTTAATAAGAGCAACTTGCCCCTCTTTAAAATAATTTATCTTACAACTGATGGTGCTCCAGTGATGACGGGTCACACCAGTGGATTTGTTGCACTGTGCAAGCAGAATGAATTGTTCCCAGATATTCTGATCTATCACTGCATAATCCACCAACAGGCATTGTATGGGAAGATTTTAAACATGAAAGAAGTGATGGATGTCACCATGAAGACTGCAAGTTCTTTACGGGCCAGGAGTCTGCAGAGATTATTTCACGCTCACTTGGAGAAGGCAGGTGCAGACCACACCGACATGCTCCTGCTCATGGATGTTAGGTGGCTCAGCAGAGGTAAACTTTTGGCCAGATTCAGTGAGTTGTTGCCTGAAATCAGGGATATGAGCATTCAAAGCTGGAGGACACCCAGTGGCTTTTGGGTTTAACCTTTCTCACTGGCCTGCTCAGTGAACTTCATTTAGAGCTTCAAGGAAAGGATAAAAAATACAAAGTACAACACACACAATCCTCTCATTGAAAAATCGCTCAGGTTGCAACTTCTCACAAGTCGACTGCAACACATGGACCTGCAACACCTTCCACACATGGAGGCAGAACTACAACATCAAGGGTAATATGTCATACAACTCAACACTGCACTGTGTCATGAGCAGGTTCAGAGCAGCTGGTCAGAGTCTGAGAGACAGTTTACTGACTTTACATCCATCGAGCCTGTTACCAGCTACATGTGTTATCTTTTTGGAAAAACTGATGTGAATGACATCATGTCCAGATTAGTGTCCATGTTTCAGCTGGACCACTCTGGTGTTGACATTGGGATCAAATCCAGAGCAACACCTGGCATGGATGGAAAACTCTGGAGTCTGCTGTCAGAAGAAAATATCCTAACATCAGTGGATGTGCTTTGCACTTGACAGCACTTCATGGATCAACCTACTTGTGTGAGTCTGTATTTTCTCATGTGAAAATGATCAAGTCCCAGAACAGATCCACAATGACTGATGACCATCTGGTGACCTGCCTGTGCTTTGCCATCACCTCTTACTGCCCCGCCTGTGAGAACAGGGCTTCCTCCTGTCAGTGTCACAAATCTCACTGAGATACAGACAAACATTTATTTTCATATAGCTTGCATAAAAAAGTTGAGAAAAGAGAGTAAAGATCTGAAAATAAATGCAGCAAAAACAGAGACCATGGTCTGCTCGAAAGCTAATGCGACCTTAACAATTACTGATAATGGAGGAAATGTACTGAAGCAGGTCGAAACGTTCAAATATCTGGGGTCGGTGATGAATGCCAAAGGAAGCTGTGAAGAAGTCGTTAAACACAGAATTGGTGTGGAGTGGCAAAAATGGAAGGAGCTGACAGAAGTGCTTTGTGACAAAAGGACGCCAACTCATATTAAAGAGAAAATGTACAAGATGATGGTGCGCCCGGTCTTGCTCTGTGGAACTGAGGTTTGGAGATTAAAGAGAATGGAAGAGGAACTCCTGGAAAGAACAGAAATGCAAATACTATGTGGGATTCTTGGAGTATTCTTCAAGGATGGACGGCGAAATGAGGATATCAGAAAAACGCTGGCGTGGCATCACGGAGAAGATACAGGAATCAAGAATGAGATGGTATGGTCATGTGCAGTGAATGGAAGAGGACAACAAGGTAAAAAGACTATTAAACACAGACGTTTTCAGTCAACAAAGCAGGGGACAGCAGAAGATGAATATGTTCCAGCAGGATATGAAGACACTCCACCTCACAACAGACGATACACAAAACAGCAGAATGGAGAAGAAGAATCCATGTGGCTGACCCTGCTCTGAAAATAGCGGGACCTACAGCCTGAAGGAGAGAGCTTGCATAAAAAGGTGTCTCTTCTAGAACTGTCACAGTTGGGTTATTTGTTAATACAAATCAGGCCAGACTACTTTATCATACACTGACTAGCAACTTTGTGTGTTATGACTAGACAAGTAGATTTCAGCAAGCTGCCAACTTTAAAAGTAGATCTAGGTTCAGAAAAGGTTGAGAACCCCTGATTCTCACGAGACTGTTCACATGTAAATAGGGTTAACATCTGGTTCAAAAAGGGAAGGCAAGCTGACAAAAGCCCAGTAGTTCTCCTTCTGGGCTAAAAACTAAAGAAACTGTGTGAAACGTGTTACCTGTTGTTCTCATGGAGGGGTTCACTGCCCTTCCGCCATAAGATCACACCCCAAGGAGACATCTTGGGCTTGCATTCTATGAGGACATCGCCTCCAACCTTCACCAGCGTCTGGCTTCTCAGCTGACTGTGAGAAAAATCCGGGGCGACGGCTGAGGAATAAGAAACACATTAAAATCAGCGTTTGTAAAAGCCTCTTTTATCTAGTTACTGTTTGACTGTTTATCTCCCGTTTAATCGTTTTTACACACAATGGAAATTACTTTATTAAGCTACAGGGTTTTTGTCATGGATAATTCAGAGACACTAAATTGTTTAATAAGTAATCAGAAGTTTGATGTGGAACTGAGGAGTTTGATATAAATTCATCATTATTCCATGTTGGGCTGCACGTGATTCTTTCACCGTGCAATTCTCCTCTTATTATAATTTCTCTTGGCTACAAAAGTATGTGACCTTCTCAGAAGCTGACCAGTTGTCTGATATCTCCCTGAACATTATTTCTTTAATCTGCTCTACACGTTTGACCAGAGCACTTGTCTGTAAGAGGCCTGAGTACAATCAGTAACACGATCTGGTTGTAAATTGTCCGAGCTTGAACAGTGAATGAAGGCTGCTGCCAGCCCAGAGTGGAGAGTGACAGAATACAACAACTGTGGCATACATCACCATCAGCTGGATTCATTTATCTTATAATTAATGCCTTTCCATTAGTGGCCAGTAAGACAGAGGCCAGAGCCTATCTAACAGGAAGGAGCAGTGGGAAGGCAATGAAGCAAACTCAACAGCAGAAATAGCTCATGCTTGGGTGTCAGAGCACATATACAGTAAACACATGCACACGCTGAGCAGGTGTCTTACCTATCACTCGCAGCTCGGCATTGGAGTAGACTTCACCATGCTTATTCCCAGCAACACACTGATACATTCCTGTGTCAGACAGGGTCAGGCGACTGATCGACAGAACCCCGTTGGCCACTTGTATGCGCTCCTGTGGACACAGAAACAAAGGCCTTTAAAATGTTTTCTCCTCCTAGTGTTCATCTACATAAAAACAGCTGAGCTGGGTGGGGGTGAATTATGGTGTAGAAGTGACAGACATGGCAATAAATCTAGGTTTTCATCCCTAATGGAGGGAAAGGCTTGGGTGGAAGGAGGCAGGCTACCAGAAAATGACCCTAATCAATCTACATGTTTATGAGAGTGAAATAAAACTATGCCCTATTTATATCCTCTGTTGCACCATGGTCGGTTTCCCTTCAGCATAAAGACGGGGTAAGAGGGGAAGGAATATCATAACACCTGAAAATTGATTTGCAGATACAAAAGGTATGGCCTGTATATACTAAGTGTTATACACTGGTTACTGCTGCACCTCATCTTTATCTGACTGGTCTATCATACTTTGGCCACCTACAGGGGAAATCATGTTCATCACTGAGCTGTCAAATTAAAATCTTTTTAGGTACTGCTGAGCCTGATGAACTCCAAGTTCAGCAGGGTTAGTTCATCAGCTGTGCATTTAATCCCCAATATACACCTCCAGGCTGAAAAAGCAACACACTAAAATATCTTGTTGAAGCACATTTTATTATGGCACAGAGTCATCATGGCATTTCAAGGTGTTTATGCCAAAAGCTTTGATTAAATCCAGAGATGCATTCATTCTTTTGCACATTACTATAAAATACTGAGTTATCAACAGTGTTGGTGCATGAGGAACTCTGGAGTGGCAGAGATGTACGTTAGACTGGTACAGGACATGTATGAGGACAGCAGGACAGTGGTGAGATGTGTTGTAGGAGTGACAGATAGCTTCAAGGTGGAAGTGGGAACGCATCAAGAATCGGCTCTGAGCCCCTTCTTGTTTGCTCGTGATGGATCAACTAACATATGAGGTCAGGCAGGAATCCCCATGGACTATGATGTTTGTAGATGACATTGTGACCTGTGGTGAGAACAGGTGATAGAGAACTTGGAGGGGAGGAGGTATGTGCTTGAAAGAAGAGGAATGAAAGTCAGCCACAGAGTTCCTGTGTGTGAATGAGATGGAGACAGGTGGAACAGTGAGGCTACAAGGAGCAGAGGTCATAAAGGTGCAGGACTTTCAGGCAGGATGGAGTGGATCGAGAAAAGTTCAGGACTGATTTATGACAAAACGTGGTAGCAAAGATAAAAGGAAAAGGTTAGAGGAAAGTAGTGAGTCCAGCTTTGGTGTATAGTTTGGAGACAATGGCACCAACATAAATACAGAGTGTCAGAGATGAAAATGTTGAGATTCTCTTTGGGAGGAAAATGGATAGTTGTTAGGAATGAGCTCCTATGAGGTACAGCACAACATGAACTAATAGGGGATTAAAGTTAAAGAGATGACTGAGAAGGTTTGGACATGTCCAGAGGAGGGACAGTGCGTTTATTGGTAGAAGGATGTAAGAAATGCAGCTGCCAGGAAAAAAATATATAGGAAGGCCAAAGAGAATATATATGGATGCACTTATTATGCCCCTTTTCCATTAGTACCTGTAGTACTGGTACAGCACGGCTCTACTCTACTCGGTACGGTACAGGTTGTGTTTCCAATATGCTTTCAGTACCGGTTCCAGTGGGCGGGGTTCAAATTGATGTCACCACCTCTCCCCAGCTGGTGGCGCTGAGACGCTGAAACTGTTTTCAGTACAGGTTGAGGATTTATGTTATTTTGAAGTTGTGTAGTATGACATATGCAGGATATATACATACATTTCACGGGTTCTTCATTTTTCTGACTGTGTACATGTCGTGCATTGAATTTAACAGAAATGTAACGAGAGACGTTATTTATCTTTGACCCATCAAAATGAATGCGGTCATTTATTTGCAGAATCAAAGTTTAACATCAAACATTTACATTAATTTGGCAAAATATGAAAACAATAACATGGCTAGTTTCACAGGAAGTGGGCACAATACGGCGATTGTCCTCACTTTCAGCAGAACAGTAGACATCAATCACACGGCGGTGATTGAGAACTTTGCTTCAGACATTTCTAAAATATCTGTAATGATTTTAGGAGAAAGGAGAGTTTAAGATGGAAAATGGAGATTTATCTTACAGAGAGATGTGTGAGGGAATTTATCTGTTTGACCAGAACGGGCACGCTCCTTCAGATCTCAGCTTGGCCACGGTACGCTTGGTCGAAATAGAACTTTTACCTGGTTGATGATAGATCAGGTCGGCGTGAAGTCCTTCTTTTGACTCTTTCAGCGTCTCCGTTGAGAACAGCTAAAATAC